TTTAATGTATGTACCAAATTTGAACAAAATCCGTCCATGCATAACTGAGATCCGGGTCCGGAATGGTGAAAATGTGAGATTTTGATGCATTTTCGGCCTTAAAATGGCCGCTATTCGGCTATCGTTAATCGGATCATGAAAAAAATGCATGTGCATATGTCCCATATAATGTGTGATGTATGAGTGAAGTTTGAACTTAATCGGTCCATGCATGTTCGAGATACAGGTGATCACGGACGCACGGACGGACGGACGCACACAGGGCAAAACATAAGTCCCCGTTTTTGGACTGCGTCCGAACGGGGACTAACAAACAATGTAACTCAAGGACATCATTTGTGTACACAACCATATTAGTCCATAGCCACACACACAAAGACATTAAACTGCGGTTCTGGGTATATAAGAGGAAACATAGCCGCCAATTTTCAGTATGCAAATGACACATACATGTCTGTGGTGTGTTATTTTCATGTCGCACACAACCATGAATACATCCATAATACAATTTTGATGTTAAATGACAAGTTCGGAGCGATGTCAGAGTGATTTTTCATAAAAGCGACAGGAAAGCATGATTCAGACAGTTGTTTTGACTGCTCAAAATGACTGTCAGTCATGGGTTTATGCAAAAGCAAGGTGTCAATCCTGGGTTGTTTGCTCAATCTCTAGGTATGTGTGTGTATGTACATGTAATTACGGAGTTGATGATGTACGTGATACCATGGAGCTAATAAGAAATGATATTTGTTTGACCACTTCAGAAGCATTGTCAACACTCCACGAAATGGTCTGGCCCGAGCAAGTGCAGATGGTATGAGAACGGGGAATGTTCAACGAAAATAGTGGCCCAGCCATGCACTTTAGTGAGAAATGTTGAAATGTCGACAACTTGGTCTCAATGCACAATAATAATAATAGTTATAAAAGTTATATGTGTTGATGTAACATGACACTGCATTTTTTTTATATTACATAAACATTCCAAAAACTTCTTTATTCTATTTACAAAGAAGACATTTGTTGTTACAAGGTTTGTAAACTTTCTCGCATATTATTTTACCAGCAGCAACAGAGGAGAACTAGGTCACCCCATTGTTGATGAAAAGACAAGCCGTGGGTACTGGCCGAGATCAGTTTATTAGTGGTTGTGATGGGCCTGGTTGACATTAGGTGGTAATAATAATCGAAGGTCTCATCACATCATGCAATCACGTGTGTGTCAGTCGCCCCAGTCAGACAAAAAATAAGTCCCTGACAATAAGTGAAGTATGATTCTAAAATCAATATATGACGTTACCAACAGTACAAATGTGTCTCTAAATAAACATAATTGGTGTCTGACAACATTACATTTATGCATTTATTCATTTATGTTCAAGACTTTTTTGTAACATACGAGCCGCGCATATATTCGTGTATATTGGGGCATTGGACAACAGTCTTATCACATAACTACATTGTGTAGGTCATTCAAATAAACCACAATTATTTATAACGATGTGCTGTTTTGTACAAGCACAGAAATAAATTACAAGGTTCCTGTCATGTTTTTAGTGACTTTGTCAAACAACAAGCAGCTTGTCGGCTGAGATAGCTCTGCTGTTAGAAATGCACATTTCAATTAAAGAACTGAAGATATCATTAGAAAATGAACAACATGTATAGTATTCAAAGCAATCATACTAGCGTTTTTTAACATGAAGTCGAAAATATCACTTTTTACAAAAATGACAAAAATATTCATCATGAGCTATGCATGGCACAGTCCCAGTTAGTTATCAAATTTAAGATATATAGTTATGTTTATAGTAATATAGCTGGAATATAACCATGTCAGGACTATTATTTGTTTAACATTAAAATGATTGACATTTGTATCTGATCGTCAAACAAGTACTTGTCCATATTGAGAGACATTGCTCTGGAACAGCATTCAGCCATTTTGAATACATATATATATATATATATATAACATGATGTATAAGGAATATATAAAATTTGAATATAATCAGTCAAAGCATTTAAGAGATATGGCTCTAGAAGCCCAATCATTAAAACAAAATGGCCGCCAGTCAGCTATTTTGAATCCAATCTGAAAAATAAAATGACATGCA